TCCCTCAATGTCGAGGAGATCTCAGTGTCCCTTAATGCCGAGGAGACTCAGTGTCCCTCAATGTCGAGCAGACTCAGTGTCCCTCAATGTCAAGCAGACTCAGTGTCCCTCAATGTCAAAAGCAGACTCAGTGTCCCTCAATGTCAAAGCAGACTCAGTGTCCCTTAATGCCGAGGAGACTCAGTGTCCCTTAATGCCGAGGAGACTCAGTGTCCCTCAATGTCAAGCAGACTCAGTGTCCCTTAATGCCGAGGAGACTCAGTGTCCCTCAATGCCGAGGAGACTCAGTGTCCCTTAATGCCGAGGAGACTCAGTGTCCCTCAATGTCGAGCAGACTCAGTGTCCCCATGCCGAGGAGACTCAGTGTCCCTCAATGTCAAGCAGACTCAGTGTCCCTTACGCCGAGGAGACTCAGTGTCCCTCAATGCCGAGGAGACTCAGTGTCCCTTAATGCCGAGGGAGACCCCAGTGTCCCTCAATGCCGAGGAGACCAGTGTCCCCAATGAGGAGACTCAGTGTCCTTAATGCGTGCAGAAGGATAAGCCACATGCCCCCCAGTGAACATATCGGCGTAACCATCCTATCAATAACATGCTAAAATGAACTTTATTGCGATGGACCATAAGGAATTTGAGCCATTTTAGTAAAATTTAATATTTTTTCCCTTAATAAGCCTGAAGTCTTATGTTATACGGTGATATTATATTACCTAAGAGTTGTTGTTCCATAAGAGTGGCTATTTAATAAGGTTTCTGCAAATATAATGGGTACAAATGCATGCAATTCGAAAACTGCATTCACTTGTCGAGAGGCTATGTAGACTGTCGGCGGCTCTCCGTCAGCTGGACAAAACTGGTCCACATTATTATTTTAAATATTTCTAAATAATCCTACAGTCCGCTTTCAGTTATAGTTTTTCACTTGGGAAAATTATTAATTTTTCTGTTTTACTTGAAATAATAATCGGATCATATAAATAAAAATATTTACTAATTATTTAAATGTTCATCAATAAGATCATTGGCAACGTTACAGAGGGCCAACGTTGTACATTCACCCAAAAAAAAGTCCTGTCTCGAACCATGAACCCCGAGATTCAGACTCTTGAATCCGAAGCATTTATGGACAGAATAATGTATCAGTGTCTACTGCTTCGGGTTTACGAGTCTGAATCCCGGGGTTCGTGGTTCGCGACAGGACTTTTTGGTGACTGTACATGATGCCGAGTCATTTGTTTAACTACTTTGACAAATGCCGCTAATATAATTTAAGAAATTAGGTGTTTATGAAAGTTTCACAACCCTTATTTAGAGAAAGGCCATATCCTACTTGATATTTGATTTGATAACTGATATATGCATGCCTCAACAGTGCAACCACGGTACGCCGCTGTGAGAAAGGTTCATTCAGCCCATGAAGCTCCGACACCTGCTTTGAGGTGTTTTGTGAATCACTCTCATATGAACCGCGACGGTCAGTTCCGATGTTGTTGTCGTCGCGTTAAGAAGTGTCACAGTGAAGTGTCGCAAAGTGTCATCGTGGGTCAGGGAATATAATATCACGAGATTGTCAACACGGGTTGTATTTGTTGAGGTTAATGTGTTAAATATGAGGATGTACAGTGAGGACGTAGTTGTTGTGGGCCAGAGCTGACACAACCAAATGTACCCAAATGTAGCCAAATATAGCCGGAATGAAGTCAAATAATGGTCCTATATGAATAAATCGGACTGCCAATCACTTCTCGACTAGTATTTGGTGTCAGAAAGTCACAAAAAATTGGAAAACTTACTTTAATCTGAGTTAATAGCTCGCGTGCATGTACCGACGGATCGAGTAATTACCCAAATGTAGTCGCAATGAAGTCAAATAATGGTCCTACATGAATAAATCGGACTGCCAATCACTTGTCAACTAGTATTTGGTTTCACGAAGCCACAAAAAAATTTGTAAGTTAATTTAATCTAAGTTAATAGATCGAGTGCATGTACCTATCCTAACACAACTCAGATTAAATTAAGTTTACCAATTTTTTGTGACTTTGACACCAAATAATATTCGAGAAGTGATTCACAGCCCGATTTACGCTTGTAGGACCATCATTTGACTTCATTGCGACTACATTTGGGTAATTACTCGATCCGTCGGTACATGCACGCGATCTTTCAGAGAGTAATGGGAAAAACACTCAGGCATGAGAGACAGAGAGGGGGGAGGGGGGTGGGGCGAGAGAGTTGTGCAAGTTATAAGAAGATACACATATTGCTACCTTCATCCTGTGAACCCCTCACCCTTAACACCCGTCTCCCATCCTGGGTGAAAGATTAGGTCACATAAACAGAACGGTAAGACATAAATAGATTATTAATACTGAAATCTGACCCCAGTAGCGTTGAGGGCCACAGGTGTTGTTATCCAGGAATTTGTGTGTGTCTGATAAAATATTTATATTTATATAAATTATTTTATTATATAAATATTATAAAAATCCTAAGCTCTACAAATTCGCAAAATCGACATTTTCTAAATGTGGATGTGAAAATTTTGCGGATACTCCATGGATGCGGATGTGATATGCATCACGATTTGTCATCACTAGTTTTAGAGAAAATGTTGTAGAAAGATATTCCTATTTAAATAAATAAGAATCACAGCACCGGAAATTTTTTAGTGTAGGTTGTGAGTAAGTTACTCTTTGGGGTCCTGACCATTATGACTTCCTGTACTTTGTTGTGTCAAATTATATCAAGCAGCTGTACTGAGCCATGTTGACGGATGGAGGTATCCACCTCTCTTGTGTTACGGTTTATTAAATTTTTATTTAAATATCAATAAAATTGTATATAATTAGAGTAATAAAAGTCAATGTAGCCTCATTCATGAATGTTGTTTCAGGCAGGATCGTCCCTGGACCAAGACATGATGGGTGATGCCAAGGCTTCTTCTACTACCAGGGCAAGGTGAGTACAACTACTTCTGCTCATATTATGACACGATGGACAAGTGTGTCTATTTATTTTTGGTGTTAACTAAAAACATCGTTAGTTCATGGTTGTTCCTGTTAGTTCAAGAGTTCCATTGTTGGTTAAGGAGAGGGTTGCCACCTTTTTTTTGCAGCTAGGGCTGAGACTTGCCTTTGGGCTAACTAGGAAATCCTAGATGGCTGACCTCATTCTGACGTGGTGGCCAGCATTACCACAACCGAGTCATGTGGTCTTTGGCACTTCGATCGTGTAGAAACCCTCACTATGGATATGCAGGAAAACACGTTGGGCTTGATGGCCACCCATCATAACCTTTGACGAACTCTGTAAAATTATCTTAACCATCAATGTCTTAGCACTAGATTACTCTCCTATCCAAAATTTGCGTGCCATATAAAAATACCTGCCGTAGAGAACCTTTACTACACCCACTTGTATTGATGCACTGTGAGGCGTGGGGCATAAATAAAGACGTAACACTAAAACTAAGAGTAAAGACACTGTTGGAGATCATTAACATGAATAAGACTACTGAGAGTGAAGGTGATATTGGAGAGCAATAAGATACCTAAACGTGTACTAAGGGTGAAGGTGCTGTGGCTGTGCATTATTATTACATTGCGAATACCTTGAATGAAAGTGACGTGAGGGAGGACAATGCTGAATGTACAGTGAGTACAGGTGTTCTGAGGCATCATTGTGACAACTGTACATGTGTTGAAAGTGATTTGGAGGAGTATTATGATTATTATACGAATACTGAAAGAAGTATATACTGTATATGGTTAGGGGGCATTATGATAACTATATGGGTTAGGGGGCATTATGAAAACTATATGGGTTAGGGGGCATTATGATAACTATATGTGTACTGAGAGATGAGGTGCTTTGGGGGAGCATTGTGATAATTAGATGTGTACTGATTATGACGTTACTATGGGGGAGCAGTATTATAACTCAAACCTGTACAGTACCTTATGTCGGAGAATTATTATAATCAACTATAAATATACCGAGTGAATGTACTGTGGGGAGAATTGTGTTGTCTAATAAGAGTAAAGGCGTTGTGGGCGAGCATTATGATAACAGAGACGATAATAACAATGTTTATTTCTGTTCAGAAAAACTTTGGGAAAACATATAAAACATTGGTGTTGTGGTCTAGTGCACTAAATTATATTGCAAATGCTCTCTTGATATAAAATACATCCAGTTTATTTATTTATTTGCGTAGATAAATTTCGATATTCTTTAACACCATATTAGTGTTAATAACAGCGTCTTTTGATAGTAACGTTAAGCAAATACTATAGTACAGTAGGTAAAACAACTATCTGTGCATACTTTGTGGGAAACAATATGATACCATGGACGATAAATTTTGGTATATGAGGGCCGTCACTAGTCACACGTAAAATTTCGGAGCATATTGACCCCCACCTGCACAGAGAGTTGTTTTAGCTACTGTACTATCGTGGACAAAAGTTCGCTCCCTGTAGTGAAACTGAGACACGGGAATGAGTCTCCGAACTGACTAACCCTGATTGTTATCTGGTGCGGGTGTGCTGTGCGGGTCGATGCTGCTTCAGTTTGGGAAGGAGCGAACTTTTGTCCACGATAGTACATAGCGACATGAAAATAACGCTGTGTTCCAGAGTTTGGTGCGAAGATACGGGATGGTGCTAAAGTGAGGACCTTATTGTACACAGGCATAATGTGAAGGTGGTGACGATGTATGGTGTGGGGACGGATGGTGGTGACGATGAGTATGGTGAGGGGACTGATGGTAGTGACGAGTATGGTGAAGGGACGGATGGTGGTGACGATTATGGTGAAGGGACGGATGGTGGTGACGATTATGGTGAAGGGACGGATGGTGGTGACGATGAGTATGGTGAGGGGACTGATGGTAGTGACGAGTATGGTGAAGGGACGGATGGTGGTGACGATTATGGTGAAGGGACGGATGGTGGTGATGAGTATGGCGAGGGAACGTATGGTAGGTGATCAACTTACAGAGCACATGGATGGTGGTGGTGGCGGTGATGGGCGTGGGCGTGGCTGGGCTCCTCGCCTGGCACCTAACCTCGGCACCGTTGTCTGCTGGCATCACCTGCAGCGCTGCCCTCACCTGCGTCACGTAGCCCTCTTGATTAATCTCCACCGGCAGCTTTTTCTTGTTCTTGTACATCCTGAACCAAAACCAACAATTGTCTTCATTAACATTACACGAAGACAAATCCATTAACCATTTTTATACAGTGATTAATGATTGATATCAGACATGAAACAACGAATCACTTTTGTTTAGGAGGAAGACTCTACTGAAACAACAGGAAAACAACCGTCATGAAATAAGACTAACAATGTTGAGTGTACAAGGAAAGACGTGTATATCGTTAATGATGTTATATTACGTTTGATTAATGTTGTTAATGTAAAACTAAAATGTATGATGCGGATATATTGAGACGTCGGAGTTGCAAAGCTTCACGTCGCTAGTAACTTGCCAGACCTCGGCCGGTGACGACTATACCTGATGACCATTAGTATACCTAGTGTAGTGGGGGTCAGTATACAGGGCACACAATCATACACGCAGTAGCATTGTTCGAGTCTCTTGTCACGTTAACAAAACATCTTACGAACAGCTGCAGATGATCCTGTGGCGATTTTTCTCTTCTGTCCTTTAAGATGTAAAAAGATTCTGAATCTTTTTGTGTTCCCCAACTTATTTTATTCTTTGTGACTTGGACAGCTGAGCTACGTCTTCAGGAAGTCTGAGACACCTGTGCAGATGTATATTTTTTAGTTTTTCCTCTGGAATCACATCATCACCTGTCCTTTGTGAAGATTTCAATTAGAATCTTCGTCTCCTTTGAATCTGAGATCCTTCTTACGTGTAATGGCTTCAGCTCCTTGTCTGACACCAGCACTATATTGTTTCTTATGACGAGACTCTCCTGTTTGTTTTTAATTATGTCTTCTTTGACACAACCTTAAACTGTTTTAGACTCTTTAGTTCACAAGGTATTTTTTCATAATTTTCGTATTGTGTTTCTCTCCTTCTCTTCAACAGGTATTATTCTTGTTGATATCGTCGGGTGTCATATGTCGGATATAGTAAGTCAACTTCCTCCCTTTTACACTGGCTTTATCAAGTTCAGGTCCTGATAGTAATTCTTAATAAGTAAATCCTTAAGTCAGTGGGTGACATTCTCCATAAATAACTGATTCAAGTATAAAGCTGAGGACCAGGGCCGTGCACAGGTCTGTCAGAAGGGCGGCTGAGAGTTTGTAAAAAGGGCACCAATACCCTGAGGGAGGAGGTGAGCGAAGTGAACCTTTGCAGCTGGGAGGGTCCAGGAATTTTTTTTGTAAATCTGATCTATTTGAGGGCCATTTTGAAACCATGTACAGTTGCTATGAATATCCTTGAATTTTGGTATATTTTATAATAATTTTTTTAATGAAAATATAGTTAATATGCAATAAAAGCAACATGCAAACTGCTTCTTTATGAAACAAGTACCGGTTGTCAATATGTACTTCCAACTTCAAGTGTAGATGAATCTGATACCATACAATGATATTATTAGACAATATATTTACAACATAAACTAAAGAAGCAGGGTCATTGAATGCCACTTTACAGCTCAGCCACGTCTCTACTATAATCCAAGCTCTGCCAGGAAAGAGCCCCACATAATAATACAGCAGAGTGTTTATACTTGGCTTTAGAATAATATAAGAGGATTTTTTATCCCTAAGTTCTTTCCGTCTTAAATGGGATAATCTGTTCCTTTTTTCACGACTAATGGATACCCCACCTTCTTGTTACTGAAGATTTACAAAAGAAAAACACACACCATCGAGGAGGGCACTTTATAACTGGCAAGGCAAAGGGGCAGGGACTCAAGCTCCCCTTGAGCCCTACCTATGCACGTTCCTGCTTATGGCACAGGTAAATTGATATGTTTATTTCACCGTAAAGTGAAATTTTTACCCTAATGCTCGTGTTCCGTAACTCCCTATAATTCGTTAAGCGGGGACTCCTGTCTTTATATTTACTTAATTTAACGTTTCTTATAAAAAACACAGAATCCCAACTATTTGCAATTCTTCCTCTGTGTGAGTGACGTCATCATGCGTGAGGCGAGACTTCCGAAATAGTTGAGGAATTTAATTCTATATTTAATTGAATTATTTCTACCAAAGATACAATTATAATTACCCAACATAATTTCATCGCGATTTGATCTACTAGTTTAAATAAAATAACACAGACACATTATAAAAGTCATTAAAACACTGACTCACATTAAGTCTTGTGGAAACTTGAAAAATCACTCACGTTTCTATACATTTCTCGGTATTTTTAAAACCATTCAGTTCTAATCAAATACAACTTGGGGCTTTAAGCAACCCTCTTATAGGTGTAACACAGGCATAATTAACTACACTGTGTATTAAAGAAGAGTTATGTGGATATGATGGGATCAAGTGAGAACAAATAGAAGTAAGAAGATGGATGATGATGGGCAGGAATTAATGAGATGGGGGAAGATGTAACTGAAGAAAATACGAGAGAGAGAGAGAGAGAGAGAGAGAGAGAGAGAGAGAGAGAGAGAGAGGCGATTACGTTTAAAATTTAACTAGTTAATTTTCATTTTTTCAGTAAAGTTAACGTGATTTTTTTAACATTAACTAATTAAGTTAAGATTTTTTTCGATTAAGTTAAGTTAACCCGTCTGTGTCAAATTTGCTTAGGGGAATTTTCATGTGGATTAAATAACTTAATATCCTGTAAATGTTCTCCAGAAGAGACAATGAATACTGTAGTTTGAATACCTGAATAGTAAGGCAGTCTGGCACACTACTTCCTTGGTATAAGTCTTGAGATTAAATACCGTTTATCATATGGACACTGCAACGGACAGTGAGATGGATTTTTTTTATTTTGCCGCTAACAGCGGCTAGTTTATTGTACACCCCATACTCATCCTGTGAGTGGTAGCGCAAAAGGATTACAGAGTAGAGTTTGCAAGGGTCATAATAATTAAACCCCGTTGTCAGGATATTATGGCACTGAATGTTACACAGTATTTAAATTACGTTATTTATTTAGTTCTATACATAAAGGGTAACTTTGACAACTGAGAGGCAGCAGGGCAGGGCGGCCTCTCCAGTCTGGCTCCGAACGTTTCGTGTACAGGAAAGTCAACTGGGCACAAGGGCTGGTGTGTTATATATTATTGGTTATTTTTTCTAAGGAGTTAACTGATAATTAGTCGAAGTTAATCAATTAATTTGCCAAAATTTCGATTAAGTTAAGTTAAATTGTAATTTCAAAAGTTAATTAGTCAAGCTAAGTTAATTAATTTTCCCATGCCTGGTGTGTGTGTGCGTGTGTGTGTGTGTGTGTGTGCGCGCGCGTGTGTGTGTTTAATGTATGTATGTATGTATGTTGGGTATCATTACAACGGCCATGGTGGACTGCGCTTCAGCTCAAGACCAACTACTGCAAGAGTAAAAAAAAAAATACGTTTCTTGCTGAGCCTGAGTGAAGTGTGTAAGTTATTGCGGGTGAATTGATTGTGTTTAAAGATGACGTGAATTAATGACTTGGACGGATGAAAGAAGTGGGAAGTGAATGTAGAAAAGTTGAAGACTGAAAGAATTAGAGAGTGAAAGAGCTGGATGTTAAAGTCTCGAATGTGAAAGTTGGAGAATAAACGATGGAAAGTGAAAATTACAAAGTGAAAGGATTGAGGTCAGGAATGCAGGTGTGTGTGTGGTGTGTGCGAGTGTGTTTGTGAATGTATACATAAGATAGTTAGAACAGAAATAAAAGGCTTTACTAGGATTTTCTGGGGCCCAAACTGAGAAACTTTTGGAAGGAAAATTATGGGAAGATTACCCTTGGTGGTGTAACGTTAGTATAGTCCGCGGGCACAGCAGAGAGAAGCTAAGACAAGATAAAACTTTCTAGAAACAGGAAGTACAGTTGATATATAAGGTACAGGCGAGCTTTTTAAGAAGACACATTAGTTATATATGACCGGAAGAGATATATAAAGCCGGGAAGAAGTAGTGTTGGTGGACCAGCTGCAACGCTCTTGACTCTCATATGGGGTGTGAGAAGGTTTTTGTCCATTACCAACACACAACCCATGGGGAATGGCCCACACTGTCTGATATAATTAGTCCGTCACTACTTAATGAGTAAAGTTGTAACATTAGAGCCTCATCCATCTCCAGCCCATCATTCCTGGCGTTTGGTTCGATGTTTTCACTTGTACATATTAACACATACAGAAACGTCTTGGAAGGTGAATATGTAGATGGACAGTGACGAAGGTGAACATTGATGTTTCACAAATTATGGCACAAATATTTGTGTAATCATATAAAGATATACCAAGAGTGAAACAGGATATAGAAACACGACAATTTTACAGGAACGACAACTCAAAAATCTATATACAGTTATAAGCGGCAAACATTCCCCCAGAAGACACTGCTGGTCTAACTTAAAGCAGCCAGTATCGTCTGTGTAGATCGTGTCCTGTGGTTCACTGTTGTTTACGTGTAATTCCAGCCAGGAAAAAATGGTGGCTTCTTCACCGTGTTGTGTGTACCTCAGCTCAACCTACAGAGTATGTTTGTCTTCGGCGGGTGAGCCACGACACGCGGGGGGATCAAGTCGTGCACGATATGTGTTGTATATTATCTTCTCCCACTATGGAGTATTAAATTTAAACCGACAAAAAAAGTAAAGTTAACATCAGGCAGCTGACACACTAATGTCCAACAACTTATTATAAACCATTTAATGATATGAACATCAATCATTCCCGAGTGTACCATTTGGAATTATATTTTAATTATATATTACAATTCTCAAAGTCAAATGTTAACCAGTCGTTGAAGTCACAAAACCCGACCCAGGAGTTGTCAGGAGCCGCGCGCCCGCACACACACGGCCTATATCCGTCCTTGGCCAAAATTTAGTGCACTGGGAAAAACTAACTATACTAAATATTCAACTCTATGTTAAAACCTGTTGTTGTTCTTAGCGGGGCCCACTTTATATGTTCGTTGTATTCTCGGGGATGTTTATATAAGCATACCAAGTTTCAGCTCTTAAGAACCGCGGCCGTGCATGACAAAGAAACAAAAGTTTATGTGTTTTTAATGAGCAGGTTCCACCATTGGAGGCGGAGGGAGTAGTCCACTGGGACCAACCCCCCCAAAAAAGTTCTAACTTTATGATACTTCTGGGGTACATGAGCATCCCACTTCTGGAGTACATGAGCATCCCACTTCTGGGGTACATGAGCATCCCACTTCTGGAGTACATGAGCATCCCACTTCTGGGGTACATGAGCATCCCACTTCTGGAGTACATGAGCATCCCACTTCTGGGGTACATGAGCATCCCACTTCTGGGGTACATGAGCATCCCACTTCTGGGGAGCATCCCACTTCTGGGGTACATGAGCATCCCACTTCTTGAGGTACATGAGCATCCCACTTCTGGTACATGAGCATCCCACTTCTGTACATGAGCATCCCACTTCTGGATGTTATTTCAGCATCCCACTTCTGGGGTACATGAGCATCCCACTTCTGGGGTACATGAGCATCCCACTTCTTGGGTACATGAGCATCCCATTTCTGGAGTACATGAGCATCCCCATGTTAAATTTCAGCTCTCTTTTTCTAGTATTTGTAGCTGTGTATAGCGACCAGGCACACCGACACACAAACAAACACTGTGTTGTATATGTACACCCATGTATACATTACCAGCCAAGGTCTCTAGATACGCTACCATGTGTTCACGCTAAGAAATATACATGTTGTATCCCCAGCAGTATTATAACTCTCATTAACTCGTCCCCCGCTGCTCATACATACTCACTTACGGAATGGCTTATCGGTGAACATATGTTTTAAGCATTTTTTATTCACATTTAGTTGAAATTGGTAACTATCAAAACATTGAACAAGAAATTATCACCTCATAAAACTTAAAGGAAAACCTGAAATTGTAGAAAGGAGAACTAGACCTCTTGTTAGTGAGAGGTTCCAAGTGACGGTGAACATTACATAGATAAAGTACACACGTACCTACACCAGCCTGGGAGTAATTCTAAATTGTACTTGAAGAACACAAAAGGTGGTGTATTTAACTACCTGAAACACAACATGAGTTACACATACTTATAACTAAAGACATACTGTATAGCTTGCACCCTACACAAGAAAAGATGGAGGTTGAGACAGTGGAGGTGAGGTAGAGACAGTGGAGGTGAGGTAGAGACAGTGGAGGTGAGGTAGAGACAGTGGAGGTTAGGTAAAGACAGTGGAGGTGAGGTAGAGACAGTGGAGGTGAGGTAGAGACAGTGGAGGTGACGTAGAGACAGTGGAGGTAGTGGCACTCACGTGAGAGAGGGCGGGGGTCTGCCTCCGTCGCTGGTACACAGGAACTTGAGTGTGACGCCCGCTATCACCTCCGTTCCTCCACCCTCCACCTGCAACACGGGCCTGCCAGGACGCTCTGAGGCCCCACACAAGAGCACCGTCAACAGCAGCACCATAAGGAAAATGACGCACATGTTAACATTATGAATTTAGAAATAATTTTAGAGACATTATCAGACTACTTGAGATTTAAATTAACATATTACAATAATTCATCTTTGTGTTGCATTACATATTGTATTTCTTCATGCTACTGTACACAAGGGGAAGGTAACGCTGTACATTTAGGAATATTGTGAAGGCAAACATTGATCAACAACCTAAATGTGCGTGTTATATCACTCGTCTTATGTATTATCCACTCATCACTCTTACTTACCATCATATTCATTCTGATCTTTCATGAGGATATTGTTTTCGTATAAAGTTAGGTGGTGATGCAAAGTACCCATGGAGAGGCAGATAATTCATGTGTTGGCACTGATAGTTTTCTACTGCAACAAATTTTACCAACTCACCACCACTGACTTCCCCTCACAATCGAGTACACTCCTCACCACCCGCTACTGATACACCTTAACGAGCTACAGTACTGACGGTATCCCTCGACATCCACATGACTTTTTGTTATATAGTTTCAATTGGCTTCTTTGAGAGACTTGTGGCACGAGGCGCTTCTACAGTATCTTTGACTATGTTGAGTATCGGAGGTCGGGCTTAGATAAGGAACAGAGATATAGCACAGTAGTTGGTAATGATTGCTTTGACACCTTCAGTTGTCTGGACCAAGTACTCGTCAAGACAAGCAGTTAGCATCAGCAGTTAGCATCGACTACCTATAGGGGGTTGTTTTTTTTTTTTCTCGGTATTCTGTGTTGCATTCAGCAGTGCGGATGTAGTGATGCAGACAAACGAGTGAACGCAGCTCTGGACACGTGAATAGTGCACTGGCGTAGTGAGGTGTGCGGCACCCGGGGGCAAATGTCCCCCTAACTGCACCCCCCCTCCCTCTCCCTGCCCTTCCCTCCCTGCTTTCCCTGCCCTCCCCCTCCCTGCTTTCCCTGCCCTCCCCCTCCCCCTCCCTGCCCTCCCCTCTCTCCTCCCTGCCCTCCCGCCCTCTCCCCTCCTGCCCTCCCTCCTGCCCTCTCCCTCCCTGCCCTCTCCTCCCTCCTCCCCATCCCTGCCCTCCCCCTCACTAAGCCGCAGGAATAGAGTCGACCAGAGTTGTCCACACATTTTGGCGTTGTGGGCGGAAAGTTTCCTCTTAACACAGTCCACGAACCGCACCTGACTTAATAATGTTGTAGTTTTCATTAAAGTGTTGAAGCTCTTGGATAGTGAATATTAAACAATTTAGTTTTAGATAGTCGGTCTCAGTAACTATAAATACCGAGCAATACCCGTCCAGGGAGTAATTTATCATGTAAACCCTTGCGAAATTATCTCTCTTTTTTCATAGCATTCTTTATTTGGCGAGCTTTCATTACGATTTTTTTCTGCCTGAGTGCCCAAGCCGCAGAAAATTATCTGGTGAGCTGCATACTGCCTGCGGGTCTCTGCTGGAGCTCTTCTGGTGTATACAGTTGTTGTTTCTCGTACTATATGATCTCAGATGTGTTATGGTGGGTCGAGATGTCTTCACCCCCCCCCACAGTGTCCATCATCTTGCATCAGTTTTATCGGTATTGATATGGAGTAAAGTAACCTATATTAACTTAGAGGATGATGCCGCATACATACAGTACATACATACATACATACATACATACATACATACATACATACATACATACATACATACAGTACATACATACATACATACATACATACATACATACCAAGTGACAGGAGTGAAAAAGGTTCAGTTGAAGGACAATGAGCAGATGGAAACAAGTAGTAGGAGTAGAGATAGGTGCCGTGGCTAACACAGCTGGCTGGTTGTTATAGGATTGTAATAACAGACCTCCAGCACCACGACAAGACCCACACGGCCGCACCTCGAACCCCGATAGGCCCCACCCAGTAGAAAAGGTAGAAGTAGGTTAGTAGTAGCATTGTTTGATGACATGTGAAGGTATAGTCTTTGAGCTTATGTATGGTTAAAATTGTCAAAATGTAAGTTTTTACAACCTAGAATACAATATTTGGGGCATGTGGTTGACCAAGACGGAGTTACTGTTGATGCTAGCAAAGTTGAGGCCATCCGTAAATATCTTAGACCACAGTCTGCAGATGATGTACGCTCTTTCATTAGTATGGAGGGTTTTATCATTTTTTTATACAGGGATTTTCAAAAATAGCTCTTCCTTTAATTGATTTACTTAACCCTTTCACAACGGGAGGTTACACTAAGCTGAATAAATCGTCTGGCGGTAGTCAGAATAAAATGGCAAGTGCGTTACACGGTGAAAGGGTTAAGAGAGATGGACCTTTCAAGTGGGAAGAACAGCAACATTGTGCTTTTGTTGAATTGAAAGACCGCCTTACTAGAGCGCCCATCCTTTGCTTTCCAGATTTTTCAAAACCTTTTATGATAACCACAGACGCCAGCTACAGTGGGTTAGGGGCAGTGTTATATAACCACAGACGCCAGCTACAGTGGGTTAGGGGCAGTGTTATCACAAGAGAGTAAAGGGAAGCAACTCCCACTAGCGTATGCTAGTCGTGCCCGCTCTAAAGCAGAGAAGAACTACAGTGTTACTGAGTTAGAGGCTTTAGTTGTGTTATGGTCTTTACAGAAGTATCACGATTGTGTATATGGATATCCAGTTGTTGTAACTACAGACCATAAACCTCTTGTCAGTTTGTTTAACACTAAAGACTTGTCAGGCAAGTTTGTCAGTTTGTTTAACACTAAAGACTTGTCAGGCAAGTTTGCCAGATGATTTCTCCCTATTCAGGAGTTCAAACCATTGCTTAAGTATTTAGAAGGAAGGAATAATTTTGTCTCAGACGCTTTATCTAGGCATGTTTCCTTCAATTAATGTTGACCGAGTACGTGCGACGCAGGAAGCTGATCCTATGTGGTCACATATATTGTCTTATGTAAAAGGTAGTACGCCTAATTTAGACATTAAACCTCCTGTTCCTATTCGTGAGTTTGTTGTTCACGATAATGTTCTTTGCCGGCAAACCAAACTTGGTGTTCCTGCTCGTACTGTAACTCAGTTAGTCATACCTGCTCCGCGTGTACATGAGCTACTAGTCCTTATGCATGACACTCCACAGCTAGCTCACCCAGGCAAGGGCAGATGCATTAAACAAATGCGGTTAAAGCACTTTTGGCCCTAGATGGCAAAACAGATTTCAGAGTGTGGACAATTGTCAAGTTTGTAACGAGAATAAAGGTACTACGTTAGCACCTCTCCCCGTTCTCAAGTGTCCTACAGTCTCTCGACCATGGGAGAAGGTCATCATGGATGTTTTAGGTGATCTAGTAGAGACTCTCATTAATAATAAATATCTTTTAGTAATGATAGACACATTTACACGTTACTGTGAACTAGCACCTATCCCTGATAAAAGCGCAGAGACAATTGCCCGAGCCTTTAAGAGTCATATTCTCGACAGGCATGACACTCCTAACGTTCTACTTACAGATAACGGAGGTGCATTTAACAACGCGCTGCTAACTAAGTTATGTGAACTGTATCACATTAATAAATGTTATATCACAGCCCATCATCTTGCGGGGTGGCTGAACGGCTTAACAGTCATCTTCGTATTAACTCGGATTTTACTAACACGAACTGGGATGAGTCTATGCTTGACGTACAAAGTTCCATTAACAGTTTTTATTTGAATCCATAGGCGACACACTTCACTTCGCTCTCTACAGTTATGATAGACGACTTCCATTCGAGGTTGAAGTAGGGAGACAACGAATTTTCGGTGAGGATTTCATTGGCAAACAGTATCGCCTTTGGTGTTGAATGCTGTTTTTTATTTTCTCTCGCTCATGCGAAGGTAGTTTGTGATTAGGTGAATTTCTTCTGTTTAGTCATTTGTTACTAACAGCTGTATGTTTTCCTCCACAATTGCAGCATTTAATTGTTGTGGATGTACAGGTGTGATGGGAGTGGCCTTTGAGCAGATCTGTGTTTCGTTGCACTGCCTAGAGCTGTGCCCGACTTTATAACTTGTGTAGCATTGTCTTGTGTCTATTATCTGCTATAATTCAACGTCTATGGAGGGGATTGTGTAATTAGTTACAAGAGAACAAAATATTATGAACAGGAAGAAGAGAAATGGTGGCCGCTCACCTTGCAGTCAGGAAGGAATATACAGTATATCATCCGGACTCCTGGCACCCTCCCTCATGCGGTACTTACACATATATCCGAAGGGTCTGTCTGTCAGTTGTGGCCTTTACCGAAATATGTTCAATAAGATGCAAATCGTCGAGTTTCAGAAACAGAAAAGCGAAAGCGAGTGGACATTGCGTTCACCACAACAAGAGAGTAGAAGCTGATATTAGATATGGCAAAGCAGCATAGAACCCATCACCAACACTTCCTCCTACCCAAAAAAATCGCTGTAATAGATCAAGTATATTATAATATTTGTTCAATAACTTTTTCCGTTGTTATAACTCTGTAAACTTTACTTGTTATGTGATGAAAGTGACTTTTTCATTGAGACAATCTTCGTTCACTTGAAGTAATCGAACTATCTAAACGTTACAGATAATGTTAAGATGGTTAACTTAGCATTGTGACTGATTGTAGTGTGTACAAGTGAACGTGGGCCCTTCGTGCCTGGTGAAAGTTTGAACGCTAGTGCTTGGCTAGCGCGCAACCGTCGTCAGGTTGACAGAGTACAGCAACAAAATGGTTAATTAATGCCATCCTAAAGAAACCATCGACATGGGACCAGGTTTTTTCACTCTACGTTATTTTTGCGATTTTTTCACCAAGTTTGATGAAAAACGATTGTGCCGTTTCGGCTGCCCAGAACAGACACACACACACGGCTATTCCTATAGAGTAACCCTCCTTGGTTATAGCAGCACCACAACAACATCAAGGAGTAAACGTTAACTTTCTTCTTCCTCTATAATAATGGTTGCCCTTCGTGGAACGAGGATGGCCGGCCCAAGGGCCACCTAGGCGTGAAGGTGTAGAAGCTGTCGCCAACACAACAACCACACCCTGAGTTAACGAGTTACATGACCCAGTGTCAAGGAATATTCCGAGAAGACCGGACAACTCACTAACTGTACTAGCTAACCATTACCCCGGAACACGATCTGCAAATCGATTAACATCCGGGTCCCCAATTACTGCGGACACTACCTCCCTCCACACTGGTGAAAAACATGACAGAAACACCACATCTGTGCACTCTGGAGGGAAGTCACCAAGTCTGACACAGATCTCGTAAATCTTTAAGTGAAAAGCGAGATACTTAACGAGAATTTTTTTATAATAGTGAGCGACTGTTAAAATAACTCACCTTTACTAAGTCACTGTAAAAATAACCAAGTATTATTATTTTAACGGAATGTAATACTTGCAACTTTTCCTCTTTTCTGAATCTTATATACAACACTGTGTTTTATGAACCACGGCGGAGAGATAAGGATCCGGGAGCAAATAAAGCTGGCTGCAGTATCATGTCGTAACTGAGGTAATAACAGGGAGCTTCCCTTATTACCTGGGGTGTGTGAGAGACCTCCTGCCTCACGGTGGCTCATAATCCCCGCCAGAGTTCAGTGGTCCTTTCATAATAAGACTCACTCTCTGACTGGATCCCCGTTAATGTTCTTGGCATAAATAGTGTAAATGTCAAATTTCAAACGAATGTGAGAGACAAAGAGAAAAGGACAGATAAATTGTGTTGGATGTTTTCGTCGATTCGTTTCTTCCTTTTTTTGGGGGGTGGGGGGGTGGGTGGCTACATATCACAATAGAGGTCTCGGAGTAAATTACTTCTACCTCTACCTTAACCGAGTCGTTATAGTTAAGCGGCTGATAATAATCTTCAGAAGAATCGTTAAGTTATGATAAAAGCATTAAACTTGGCGTGGATATTCTGATATGGATATTATTTAACTCCAGTCGATAAGCTCACTTGGAATTTCAAGATGGCGGCTATTTTTCGACATACTGAAGATTGATAGAGTTATCCTATTTCAGTGAACTCAGTGTCCATTTCTATGTTTATGTGAATGTTAATACTAATTCTGCTCACCCTCCCAAAACACACTTGAACAACTCAACATCAACTATGGGAGTGACAGGACATATTGTTAAGATGTAGTTGTTTACATAATGTCCAGTAATGACGGAGAACCATCATCAGTTATAACTGATAGATCATGCGGCAGAAATTACAGTATATAAATAATGGCATTAGTTTATCTTATTCTCAATATTTTTCACGAAATTAGTGTTAACAGTGAGTTGTAAAGGATGAGTTTATAGATAAAAGTGATGGAGTTTTCAAAAAGCTTTGCTTTTGATGTCTCCCCCAACACTGCCTTTGACTTTGATCCGCTGCCAACACAGGTCCAGCCATGACGATCATTGCCTGGGACTTTACAATATAATATATACTACAGAGCGTCATTAACTTCCCGAAGCTTTTGATGATAGACTAAAACAAATATAAAACAAAGTATCGATTACCTTAACAAAAATACCTGAAGCTAATATATATTGTATTACACTCTTTCTGTAGCTAAGTTTAATTATTTTTTTATATATGGGCGATATGGGTTGGGTGTAAACGGGGCTGCCTAGTTTGTTTTATGTAAGACGTTTAACTACTATCACTACAACACAAGTGGTGGAAAGATGAACATATTTAACAGATGGAAGGATTGACGAGTGCAGGAGTGAATGTTTGGATGATAAGAATATGTGAGAAAAGTGGATGGGGAAAACATTACAAAGAGGATGAGGGCGAGTGAGGTGGAAGCATATATAGGTTGAGTGATGCTGGGTAGCGGGAGGCGGTGCACTGAATATTAACAAGCGATAAAGGAGGCAGAATATGTGATAACTTACTGGCGATCTTGAGGGTCCATTGGTGAGTGACGGCTCTCTCCGTGGCTGGGTGGTGAGCCCTGCACTCCGCCGTGACCTGGGGCGTATCGTGTAGCCCTGACACGACATGGTTCAACTCGGAAGTGGTCACCCACCCTCCACCTTCCTCCTGACTCACCACCGATGAGCTGCTGTCCAGTTCTACTCCTACGAGAAAATTAAAACGGCAATTAGTTACACCTGTAATATGGGATAAACTACTCTTCTTAAACTACTAATCATATCCTCACTGTTAATCAAAATCAGACGTAAATTCATCGACGCCAAATGCAAATACTAGTGTTGGGATATTGGCCTACATGTGTCAGAAAACTGAACAGAAAAGGTTATCTTTCACTTATATCTGGAGAACGTTCAGATGGTAGAGGGGGGGGGGGTGAAGCAGGTGATGGTTGTTGTGGGGTTATGGGTAGGTGAGGGTGTTTGTTTACCTTGTATCATCCAGGTGATGGTCGCTGGAGGGTTGGCGGCGGAGGTGTAGCAGGCGAGTGTCAGCTCTTGGTCCACCACTGCCATCGAGGGAGTTGTCACAGTCACCTTGGTTGGCGCGTCTGCTGGAGAACAGTGTTAGGTGTGGTGTCACGTACAGTTGTTCTAAGAAAGTTCATAACATGGCAACAATACACCAGATCTAAACAAACTGGTGCTCGTGGTGTCTTTACTGCTCGTTGGTCGACCCGATGTTTGTTCTTCACGACTTAGTTCCCATGAGAACACGTTGTATTATTCATTTATAATTGGGGTCATAATCAGAAATTGAAGTCGACAAAATTATATTAAAGCGAAGAAATCTTGGAGGATAAAACAGCATTCAGAATAAAAGAGTGTAGATGATAAATTAAATTCTAAAGAAAAATGGATGAGAGAAGAAAGTTGGTCAGAGCGAGTGAGAATTTTTTGAGAATTTTACAAGGAAATTAAAATGCATGAAGACAAACCAAAGAAAATTGTCTTGGAATATGTACAAAGAGACAGCGGGAGATGTAACAGGAGGGAAACGCAGAGAGAGATAAATGAAAATAATGAGGCAGGAAAGAACACATAAATAAGGTAAGACTACAAAGAGAGATGTCAGTAAAATCCTCTAAAACTATCTTAATTTTTGGGGGTCGATAAATTCCAGAATGAACACTGCGACTCATGCTGTCTCGATATGATTGTCAAAATCTTTCGTCCGTTGTCATATTTCCTTTTTTTTTTAATGATGACATATATTGTGGTTAAACTTTCTAGTGAATCACGTGTAAAATGTTTAAACTCATTTTAATAAAGATAGTAATGTTATGATCCCAGTAAATTTGTTTTGTGTTTAAGCCATTGTTCATAAAAATTGTTTCACTTCAGTGGTATTAAACATCAGTTTCTTATTAATAACATTCTGGGTAGCAAGTGACAACGATGAATGTTTCCAGCCGTTTAGAAAAAAAAAGTTTATCTCTGGTGGCTCGTATCTTAACCTGATAAGTAATGTTACTAAGAATATTGATAGTAATTGTCATGTTATTCATTGTGGGATTTATTTCTGTACGTTGACTCACCACGATAGTGAGCTTCGTGTTGCCTCCGTAATTCTCATCTCTCACATAGTTCTTGTTGTAAAAATAAAGAAATCTATTTTAAGTTGTGTTCTACAGTATTTTCAGTGCTTACAGTTACAGCAAAAAGTTTATAATATAAAAGTGTGTGCCACCAAACTATTCATTTCATTAATTTACATAAAAATTATCAAACTAATGAACACAATATGATGATGACCAACGTTACTCGCATATTTGGCATGAATAAAAATTTTTCAAATGCTGGTCTGTTGTCCATCAATCACACAATTATCTCTTGTCAAAAGGAATTCATGTAAAAATTATCAAAACTAATGTTGAACAGTTGGACAACAATCTCCACCGTCAGAAGTGTTTACAAAACGTTCAGGTTATTTTGACAGATATGAAAAAAACAAAAATATTATAAAGTTCTGATAGTGTTTGTGTTGTGTATTGGCGTTCTTAGTGCCCCTCGTGTAATGAGGATGGCCGGCCCAAGGGCCACCTGGGCGTGAATTTGTTTAAGGTGCAGAAGCTGACGCCAACACAACAACCACACCCTGTAAGTTAACGAGTTGCATGACCCCGGAACACGATCCGAAAATCGATTATCATCCAGGTTCCCAATTACTGCTGGGAAGACAGAAACTTGCCCATAGTTTCACCCTGCCCGGGGATCGAACCCAGGTCCACTCGCTTACGAGGCGAACGTGCTGATCATTACGCAAACACACACACACACAATTCAGACACTATAATAAGCTTAAGAAAAATTAAAACATTATCATAAATAGTTTAGCTTCCACCATAATACAGTGGTGGGCCTTTAACTGAAGCCCTTTGCAAAATTAAGGCAATAAATTAATTGATGACTAACTTAGTTATTTAGATTAATGACAAAATATAGTTATCTAACTAAATGCCTGAAATAAGAAATATATGTGCTCTCGTGTTCTCGTGCGTGCGAGATTGTAAACTTGACGGTGTCGAGTCGGAAGTGTGTCGTGGATATTTCCCATAAATCTGAACAAAACAGTTAATTGTAAAATTTGTATTAATTGAGTGTATTCACTGTAAGTTGAGGAGTGTTAGAGGGAAGGCTTATCAAGAGGAACATTAGGGATAAAATATTTTTTCAGTGTGGTGGTTAGACAGGTGAGGGGCGTTGATGATGTATTCCAGGTGAATAAATTATCGAGTGTAATTAGTAAAGGCTATATGAATGTGGCTGAATTAAGTGAGATCAAATAGAAGGGAGAAGTTGAGATGGCGACTGAATGGAGTTGAGGAATTAATGAGAAGTAGTAGAGCGAGGGGACAAGTGACTCATTTCAACGATAACAAATTTACTGATAATTTAAGTAATAAATAAATTAAAAGGGTTAAGTAGGTTGAGTTGATGGTAAATGTATATAACATTAACCGGAAGAGTATGTGTTTGGATAAGTTCGGGACGATATAAAAATCAGATCACTGCAAGTAAAGTAAATCTAGAGGTAAAGTGACAAAGAAATACCGTGGAAGTTGATTATTCAGGTCAGTGAGAACAAAGGGATATACTGGAGTGTTTTTTTTTAGAAGGTTAAGTAGATGTAATGAAGACAAGGGGGAGAGGGTTGGGGGATGGGAGAGTAAGTTGTTGTCACACTTGTTTGCGTACGCCAGGCACTCTTCGGAGAATTACTGAACATAAAATTTGGAGAATAGTGAAGACAGGGAGGTGATTATAATGTGTTAATTAATACTTGAGGAAGAATATGTAGCGAATATCGACGTAATAAACAAAACATAATGCGATAAAGGTGCACAGGATAATTAACACTAAAGCGATGGGATGGGGTAAAGCCACAAGTTGGATGTGGAGTGAAGAAAAAAGACTTGAATAAGTGAATGGATAAAACTAATAGTTCTGCTTCATAAAGTTGGAAGTATTACATGAACACCGTCTCAAAAATATTAACTACTCCATGAGGCTAGACCTGGATAGGACAGTTTGTTGAAAGAACTGTCCTTGATGCTGTAAATTCAGTGCTGCTATACCTCGTTGCGCTGCGGGAAAGCTCCACTAATATGTGTGAATAGAAACAGCGAAGTGTAGCTGTACAGTAGTGACGTCACAACAACACGTGATTCCTACAGCCAAAAACCGCACTGCTTATTGCTGTCAGAATCTCACGGGAACTTATAATATTGTCTTAAAGATGGCGCAGGTGTGGCTCATGTGACCGTAATTGTACAATGTCTGCACCGATGAAACAGTTAGTAACTGTTGACTCAATAATGTACAGTGAGTGACAGTACCTGAAGAAACCGAAACAAGTTGACAGTGCCTGGAGTATCAGTAACAAGCGGCAGTACCTGCAGTAACAGTAACACGTGACAGTACCTGAAGTAACAGTAACACGTGACAGTACCTGAAGTAACAGTAACAAGTGATGTCTTACAGTGGACAGTGAGAGTGACGTTGGAGGTGAGTGGTTGCTCCAGCAGCTGGCTGTTGACCCGACACTCGTACACTGCCCCGGCCTCCTCCCGCGTCGCCGTCACCAGTTGAGTTACCCTCACACCCGTCTCCTCCATACCCGTGCTGCTCGTGGCTGCCGGCGGGGTGGTGAGAGGGGCAGCTATCATAGATGTGGGATTGATGGGCCGCCCATGTCTGTACCAGGTGACCCATGGGCGAGGGTTGCCGCCCACAACCTGGCAGATGAGGATGCGACGCTCCCCCTCCCTCAGGACCTCACCTGTCATGTAGCCGGTGATGACGGGGTAACCTGGCACGTCTGTCGGAGAATCACAACGCCAGGTGAAGGTCATCCTCGCTTCACAACACCCCTCACACTTATACAAGAAGTCATCAACAGTGGCCCTCAGTCCCTCTTCTGTTTAAATATCTAGTAAATTATCCACTTATTCTTTAACTTACACATCTTCTTGCATCTTCTTTTATTTATGTATTATATTTATCTAAATCCAATTAGTTTTACGTACAGTTGCTTCCACTTCCGTCTTTAACAGTGGACCTGGTCTCCCCGAGCAATGTGGCAACACTGTAAAAGATTCCCAGCCGAGCGAAAGGTATCAATGATGGCGAATCAATAAACCTCAGGTGATTCAGTTGAGCTCGTCTTGAGAGTGTGACCCAGTCAGTGTAAAGAAGTTCTAAATTATTGCTTGTCGCCGTGACAGGGATGTATACACCGACTGACACTGAGTTTCGTTATAATTGAAAGTTATATTCCTGTCGTCTACAGCTATTTGAAACCAACAGTGTTTGTAGTGTTTGTTTAGGAATAATATTGTGAGGTGGATTACAGTTCATAACAAACATGACAGAGGTGTACGGTAACATGTATAATTTTCTTTCATTTATATTAACCGAATCGATTATATTTCCAACAGGTTCTTCAAAAAATTAAACCTAAATGTTAAACCAACAACAACTTTGTCACTTAAAGTACCGCCGCACCACAATTACCAAAGGTGTCTCGTAACCTTTGGGTAATACAGCCAGAGTGTGTGTAAAACTTAAAACTTTTCACACAAACATTGTCCTCGAGATTAAAAATTACCATATTTTTTTTGAACTGGTGTGTGCTTTCCAGTACCAGTCAGACGCCATCATGTACTAATGGCTACCGCTTGTCTATGTATATACAACAAGTTACGAGTTTACCGGAAAAAAAAGACTGAATGTGGCAACTTAAAATAATTCATATTTATACAACAGCATCACAGCTCCCGCACTATAAATACGAAGGTTGAAACGAACATTAACCGCACCAAGTTGGTTGTATGGTTTATACACTAAATTATTGATTTAAACTACAGTGAATTGCTTAAATAACGAATATGAAAAATAATATAACAAACTGAAGAATCTTCGACTAAAAAGTTGGTTATGTCAGTTTCCAGGAAGAGACTGACGAATAATACCGCAGAATGACCCGGGGCTGAATAAACACGGTTCAAGAGCTTCAACCAGAGCTCTTCATCTAGTTCAGTGCCCCGTTAAAAGGGATTATTCTCGTGCTTGTGAAACTAAGGCAGCCAGTTCAAGTGTAATGTATAATACATAGGTCTCATTGTTTTAAACTAAAGTATTTAACACAATACTGAGAACAGTGATAATAGTAATAATGATATCAATAATAACAGTAATAATAATAGTAAATGCTGCCCATCGTACACGTCTTGTCTCGGCCATCAGAACAGTACAGTACCTGGTGTCAGCGACCTTCCTGTCATATCTTTAATTTGGTCTTGTTGACTATGTTTAATAGTTATACATATTTAGGATGAAAATTTCTACCTTTTGCAATATCAGAAGCATAAATAAGTAACTAATGTTACACTGAATATTTATTAAAATGTTTTTAATTCATCGCTAATGACATGAGAGTAGAGGCGTGTGTTTAGTTCAAAGAAGTTTCTCTTCCCTTCCCAACTCCTGTTATTAGTTCTTCTTGTAGGCAGCAACTTCATCCGGCACTTTGCATCAGCAGTGTTGTAAAACTAAACAAGTCCCTCGTGCTAACGCGGTTATTGCTACCCGAAGTAACAAATGGCTGGCTGGAGACAGACTGTAAGCTGCGGCCACAACACAAAAAGATTGTTGGCATCCTCCTCCTACTACAAAAAGTTTGCCGCCACACCAGCATGCGGCTACACCAGCCTGCGGCTCGTGAACACCGCTGTGCTCCCTAGTAGCCTAAGAATGTATTATATAATGCTTATAATCGTGCTCTCGATACCAGTTCTTATTAAACTCTTGTTTCGCGTCATGCTAAGAGCAAACCAGATCCCTGAGCAGGCCCACCTTCCCGGTGCCTGGGCCTCTCTTGGTGGGGATATACAGTAATTGTCTTGGTATACGAACAATGTAGCCGAACATATAAAGAGAGAGAATAAAAATTAAATTAGTAATTAAAACTTAAATTTTGTTGGTAAATCCATCATGGTAGTATATGTAATAATGTATGCACATACCGGTATGTGACTTCAGAGAGGGGTTTCTGTTCCCCGGGCGTTTTGGTTCTACAGGAGTGCCGACTACTGTAGCACTGTTTGGTAACCTGCCGGCGCGGCGGTGTCGACCAGTGTTGCTACTCTAAGGTTCTTAAACAAAACTCGATTTTTTTTCTTTAGTTTTGCAGTTTGTTCTGTCTAATGTTACCAGGTGTATATGTTACACCATGGTGTAATGTTATTAACTCGATTTAAATCACCATAGGTGATTAGTTTAACAGAAACTTACTTTCCCAACCTTTTATGAAACACAGTAAAGCTGACATCTACTGCTTATAATATTTCTTCAGCTTTAATACTGCGTCTAGGCGTATTGAAGACACTGCCAAGGAAATAAAATCAAACCTGATAAAAAAATTGGATCATGTGACATTTTGTGACTTGTGATTGCTGAATCAGCTGATATTGTGGAGGTGTAGAGCAACTTCTCGGTTGTGTTGGGGTCATTTATGATGTTGGGGGTGTCAGTTGAGTATTTATTTCATTGCTGAAGTTCTTCAAAGAAAACGTATTATATTTGAATGAATTAATTATCAGTCGCTACATATGAAACCCCAGCTGTGATCGACAGCATAAAGGTTTAATATATATATATATATATATTGATAAAATCACACGGGAAAAGGGAAACAACGGAGCACCTTAGCTTTCGTCTTTATTCAAGACATCTTCAGCTAAGGTGCTCCGTTGTTTCCCTTTTCCCGTGTGATTTTATCAAGATTTATCTTATCCACGTTTTCATTGTGGATCTACATGATATATATATATATATATATATATATATATATATATATATATATATATATATATATATATATATATATATATATATTAATTTTTTTCTTTTTTACGGGGCTTAGCCCACCCGGGCACAGATCACTGACCCACATCGGGGCCTGGGGGGCGAAAATGTAATGATAATAATAATAATAATAATAATAATAATAACAATAATAATAATAATAATAATAATAATAATGATAATAATAAAGAAATACAAAACAATTTAAAAAGATCAAAAGTGAGAAACAATATATGTATGCCGTTGTCAATAGTAAGAGAAACAATTGAGACACTGCAATTGTGTGTAAATGAGGCAGAAAGTCAGATCAGCAACCTGGGATTTGGTCACAATTTTCGCAATGCCATGTGGCAGCAGGGTCTACCATTAGACAATACATTATGCTTACTGTTCTTTTGTGATATTCCTCATCGTCTCTTTGTTCACATCTTTGCAGCCGAGTTCGAGTTGAAGAAGTCAACAACGCTCTTTTAGTTATTACTCAACTCATTAATTTTCTCATTTCAAAACCACTGAATAAGAAAAGACTGAAATTATTTCTTAGAGGTCAGGCTCCTTACAGTGAGTTGGCAGTGTCTGTCGACATCCGCTGCTTGAGCAAAGGAAAAACTCTTAACCAAATGTTGATGCTGTTTGACGAAATAAAAGTTTATCGTTCATTGAAATTTTCTGGAGAGTTTACCTCAGATCTCATCTTACTTTACTGTAGAATTATTAACTTTACTAAACAAGTTGAATTTGAAAATACAAAGAACTGACATAACAGATTTGTATGACACAATGTCTGCTTATGAGAGTAAATCATTGTATTCAGTGGACAACTTGCAGACGGCTTCTTCACCATTTCCCTGAGTTTGAGGAAACACTCCAAGAATATAACCGACCCACCTGGCCAGATTATGTAAAAGTCTGTATAGAAACTTTCAGTAAGAAATTCCTATAAAGGCTCCAAAACTTAAAAATTCATATTGACAAATTTCAGCTTTGTCCCGCCTCTTATGTGTTTTGATGTGGGGACCTTCAAAAAAATATACTGTAGGTAAAACTTTCCAGTTGCTGGAATGGAATTGTGTGAAATCTCATCATCCACATCACTGAAACTTCTTTACGTAAACCCAAGTTGTGATTTTTTTTATAACTTCAGATACAATTAAATTTTCAGTCATTCGTGCTGAAGGTCTGAAAGCGTTGTGTTTATTTGGCACCATCAACAATATATTTATGTGCGAGACTGCATTTTCTCTCGTGAATAACTTTAAAAAAAAACACACGTCGGACGTTCTGTCAGTTGCTTTAACAAATAATGATAAAATCATCCGAGTAAACTGGCGAATACAATACAGAGCCACGATTCTCACTGAATGATATTGGTTAGTTTGAAATTCAAGTTCTCAGTTACTTAACACACTGGAAATACCTGACATTGGGTGAATTAAATTATTCCTAATGTTTTCAAATATACTGTTAAGTGATTCTCGTTTGATCGACTTTTAAGAGAAGCTCGTTGCTCTAGTGTAGCAGTGGTAGCCCAGTGGTGGAGTAAGATAGAGACTAGTGGTATAGTAAGACCCAGGCACATGGAAGTTATGAGTAAGGCTTGATTTACTTGAATAATTAGACATTCAGTTTCAGAGCTTCTGAATAAAACACTATAGCAGAATGTGAACGAGAAAAGTACTGACTTTAACTTGATTTGCGACTCGTCAAAAACAAAATAAAAGACGAGACCAATCAAAAGAGTCTTGAGACACAGCAATAAAGACCTGAAACTCTACTTGAGATTAAATTTGCTCTGGCAACTCGTGATTTACGTGAGACTCGCTAAAGATGACTTAAGACCATAATAATGGAAGAAACTGCAGCGGACCTGTTGCCTCATACTAGACAGCCCCGTAGACATTTCCGGCAAGGACCACCAAAATGTGCAAGTTACAAAATGGAATCAGTGGCACCACAAGAGAGGGATGACCAGACAAGGGACAAGATC